GAGGTTGCCTCATCAGGTGTACAACACTCTGCAGATGAGCATGAGGTGCTGAGTGGAGCACAGGCAGCCAGTCTTACACTGGCTTGGGCTTAACCCCTGACATGGGTCAGGGCTGGAGGGGACGTTGGGCAGGGCTGGAGGAGACAGGCTTTGCACCCACAGAGAGGGCAGAAGGAAGGGGAGACAGCACACAGAGTAGAGGGAGGTTATCAGGAACTGGGGAGGAAGTGAAAAAGCAGACAGCCTGGCAGGAAAAGCTTTCCCGGGAAGGAACAGTGGTATCATGTGCCATCTGGAGGCTCACAGCAGCAATGAACAGGCTGTATTTCCTTCCCGGAAACAGCAATCACCGTTATAGGTAGATATGTACCTTAGTCAGAACTGACATTAGATCAGCCTTTATCACAGAGCCCATTTTCCTTCTGACAGTACATTCCCAACACTGGAAACATCACATCAGGAAACTGCCAGATAAAAAACCCTCCAACACACGAGTCCAGCCATCTCTTAGGACACGTCTTCTTGTCCATCCTGCCCTGCACTGAACCAAGGGCAGAGACACGGCACGGTGTGTGGGGAGCACAGTCCCTAGCTCTTGTGTCCCTGGCAGTCATCTTGTAAGCACTATTCATACACTGGGGATGTCCAGGAAACACTAGCATTACATCCAGAACATCATTTCAAAGAATCTGGCTTTTCCCTGGTCACTGAGAAAGATGGAGGTAAAATGTGTGTCAAAGTAACTCACTTTGGATCAAACCAGAGTACCTTTTCTCAGTGAGAAGGGCTAATTTGGTAGCTTTGCTTTGGGCTGTCAGATGATATGTCTATTAATTTAAAATGAAATAAACTCAGGAAAAGCAACTTCAAATGAATAAATGGGGTTCTGCTAAGTAACAGGGACAAAGAACAGTCTTGGATCCTGAATCTTTTCCTTCAGATCTAAGAAATAGTCCGAGAAGGGCTCCCAGCTTCTCCCTCTTGAGGGATGTACAAACAGCTCCGCCCCTTCTGCCAGCCAAGCAGGCAGGAAGCAGCTCCTCCTGGGGCTCCCAAGCCAGGTTTTCTGCTTCGTTTGTGCCCTCCTCCCTCGCAGGCAGGAGGCTGACGCGGGCAATGAGTCTGTCCTACCGGAAAGGAGGGAGAATGGAATGAAGCACAATGCTGGAGAGACACCGGTACCAACTCCATAAACACTTCTGCAAAGGGCTGAGAACAAAAACCATTCAAAGCCAGAGTTTTCAACTACACGAGTGAAGGGTTGAAAGGGACTCCCTGAAGCAGAGTGACAGTAACTGGAAAAGGGAAGTACAGTAACATCTCCGGTGAGCATGAGAAGTGAGAGCATGCCGGCACCGACCCACCTCAGAAGCAAGAGCACTTGGACAACCATGGTGGCACATGCTCCCACTGGAAGGTGAAGAGACAATCATGCTTTGCTCTTCCCGCCTCCCGAGGCAGTCGTTGCAGCAATTGCAGCAGTTACCGTGGAGGATCACAAGATTTACAGTGTGAGCACCCCGTGAAGCACTGGAGAGCTGCTGCGTTCCAGTATCACCCTCCAGGCATAGGAGCCTCCTTAGGAGTGATTCAGATGGCAACCAGGAACGAAAAGTATGAATTTTAGAGAAATAGACTTAACAGAGGGAATTTCATATGCATCTACAGTCAGGTAATCAGTAATCAAGAAGCTAGCTAGAACACTACGATGATAGTTCTGCACCCTCTTCTATCATCTCCCCCTGACAACAGAACATCCCCTTCAAGGGATCAAGGAGCTGTTCCTTTGGCTTTTCTGGAAGCAAATGAATCCTAGAAACACTGGTTCTCCCCCAGGGCTATTTCAGTGAGTGGAAATACCTTTTGACTGACCTTGGACGAAGGCATCGTTCCTTTAACTGGCACCAAGTTCTTCATCCAGAGAAACCACCACCTGCCAGGACACAGGAGCATCGGGCCCTGGCCCTGCCAGGCAAATCTCCATGGCACAGGAACACCCTCACAGGGAGCCCAGTGACGGCCATACACGTCCGACTCAAGTGCCACCCTAGAGGATGGGAGCCCACTTTCCTTACCCGTTCTGAAACCCTTCTAGTGAAACGGGTGTTCCTGCAAACTAGTTTTACTCAAAAAGTACTGAAAAGAGAACCCCAAGAAAGGAAACAAGACAGAAAATGTTCTAGGATGATGCTTTTTAATTGTTATTTTTATGTCTTTAAAAACAAATCAAACCATTAAAAACATTATAGACATGTGCTGAAATTTCCTGTACAACAAATATGAAAACAATAAAATTTGTACATCATTTCAAGATATTCAACAGTCACTTATTTGAAACACATCAACTTTTCCCTTCTTAAGCAGGCCCCAGATGGGAAGAAGAGTAGAAGAGAAATGCAGGAGATGCAATTGCCACAGAGTGGAGCTTGCAGCCCAACCGTGGATAGCTTAGCTAAGAGGGAAAACACTGACCAAAGAGACAGATCTTGGCAACTGTAGCACAGAGAACATCAGAAGGCAGGGAAAAGTTACTCGCAGGAATTCAAGTCATCTTGACCAACAGATTCACCAGGTAGCAGAGCATGACCTGCCATCCTCCTCCCCCTGCAGGGGTACCCCATGGTGCGTGTCCTACTTACTCGCATCGACACTACGGCCAACTTCACGTTTACAACTTCTTAGCCTTACCAACTTTTTCCACCTATACCTGGAATCAGCAGGTCATCTATTTCCAGCTTCAGTCTCTTCCCACAATCAGTCAGTTTTGGGAACACACATGCATCCAGGGCTAGTGAAAACGGATACCCATTAGATGACAACACAAGTGAGAATTTGGCACCTGCTTCCAACATCAAAACAGTGGGACAGATACGTTTGTTTTCTGTAAGACTACCGGGGCAGTGGTTAAGCAGAAACACCATTCTAGCTGGTTTTCTCCTGTTCTGCTGCAAGATAATGCAAACACATGATCTAGCGCAGCAGAGTCACTGACCTCTCTCCTGTGCTGTACAAAACAGGGGCCTTCTGAAGCAAGAGAGCACTCGCCACGCTAAGGCAGCAAGTTCTTGGGAGACCTGGAATAATGAATACTGGCTCTGTGCTCTGCACAGATGTGCAGTAATTAAAAGATTAAGAGAGAAAAAACCAACGTGACTGTAACGGGTAGGCTTTCCTCCTTCCCAGTTCCTTTGGAATGCTTCTGTTTGGTCCAAGTGGTTTATCTATCAGCAGCTTAGGAAGAATGCCAGGTGAGAGATCCACTATGTGGACTGCCAGTTTGGATGGAGCTGGCCAGGATCATCAACTCTTTTTTTTTTTTTTAAATGTATTTCAGAGGAAGAGAAAAGAAAATATATTCAAGAATGCACAAGTGGCTGCTACAAAAAAAATCCAAAACCCCACACCTGAAGCACACTGTGGTTTGCCTTCCAGTTTTGCTCACACAGCACACCACAATTTTACACCAGGTTGTAAAAAAATTCCTCTGGATATCTGTAAAGTTACAGTTGTGCACAGGGAATTCCTACGGTTTCCTTCAGCTGACAGCGGGTTCCGGCGAGGTCGCCAGGTTCCCCTGTAATGCCACACATACTCCTGGTATCTGTAGCGCTGACAACTCTGCTAAAACAAACAAATAAACAAACAAACAAGCAGCAGAATTCCAGGGACTCTGGTTATTAAACCTTCATAAGATTTTCACCACTTTATAGCTATTCTATAGCATTATTCATAAACTTCATATTCCTCTGCAATGCAACCAGTGCAACGATCTGAAGACCAACCCCTCCAGCTACGTAGGAAGTCCTTCAATGGTATCGCCTTCGTAAGTCCAACAGTTATGTACCACCAAAACACATCCAATCTAATCTCTGACCTGTAAAATCAGCAAACAGGGGGTTTCTGCTTCTTTGTTCTGTTTTCTAAAAGGACCAGTTACAACACCAGCAGCAGTAAATTGCAAATAATTAAAAAAATTATAAACAACAACATTAGGTCAATGAGATGCAGGCAGGTAAGATGTGTCTCCGTTCTAAATGGCTAAAACATCCAAGAAATTGATCTTTACAGCAGAATTTTGTGCAATATGTTTTGGTAGAAACAGTAAAGCCAGTCAATCTGTTTGGGAGTGCTTGGACACTTGGAACCTTAGTCTGACATTTTCACAGATATATATATTTGAAGAAAAACAACAACAATGATAAAAAGACACCAACCTGAGTAAAACTCTATTAGAATAGAGTGATCATTATTCAGTAAATCATATATTGCACCTTTAAATAAATCATTATAAATTGTATAAAAACAGGAATATCAGCCAGGAACAGGGAGGAGCTACTCTGTCCTTCAGACACACCCACACACACCCCCGCACACGCGTTCACGTATTCACTTGCTCCGTTTTTTACTACAGTTAAAGCTCGGAGTGACAGACCACACTCCTTATCCTCTAGCAGAGGCACCGAAACATTAAGGCAGGGGATATTTGTGGTGAAATGCAAAAACAAAGCTCACCTCCAAACTTCTGGAGAGTCCTGCCAACAGTGCAACTACAGAGAAATTTGACATAAGCCTTATTTAAAAATCTGTGTTCTCATTAAGAGTTTCAGTACAAAAATAGAATCTCTGCTGGTTTTTTTTTTCTAGTAGCAACTAGAAAAGGCACAATTTCCAAGTATAAATGTCCATTTGAAGGAGCTGTTTGTACTCCTTTTTTAAATAAAAAGGAACACAGAAAAAAAAAATCACAGAGGCACATATCTATTAGCTAAGTAACCAGATACAGTAGATAAAATATGTTCCTGAAACTTATAATTAAATATATTAAAACAGCCCACAAGCCTGGTGTCTGTAAATGAAATCATATAAAATTGTAATAAAAAGCTTGTGTTATTATTTTAATATTTAAATTCTAGTTCCCCATTCATACTGCAAATACTATTTCACTTATCAGCACTGTTAAATTTCCAAGAAAAAGCAAGACTCCTCTGTTAACTTTAAATAGTTTTGCTTGGTGGTTTGTTGTGGGGTTTTTTAAGATCAATCGGTGGCTCCCGCCAGCGCTGTGGTTTTCCTCCTGTAGCTCACATCTTCAAATGCAAACAGAACTGGAGAGGCCAGACGTGAGACACTGCACACAACCCCGGAAAACACGAGTAGAACATCCCTTTCCTATGCGCAGGTAACACCTCCTGGAGACAGCGTGTTCCTTCCAGGCTACGCGTGGTAGCCGTTGGCCTTCCCAAAGCCTGGCCCAGGTGTGAAGTTTTCATAGATTGACATTGCTGTCATGTTTTGGTAAATAAGATCTGTTTTCTTCTCTTTCTGGGATCTAATAATATCCATAACACACTGGTTGAGGAAAACATACTGGTCCTGATGGGAGAAAGAGAAAAAGGAGGGTAATATACTTACGGAAAACACCTGCTTTTGGAAGTAATTCAGCTCCTAAATACATGTTTTTGGATGCACTGCACTGAATGTTATTTTTTAGAAGTTGTATGTGTAGTTCATAGAAAATAGGGCTGGAAAGGAGCTCATGATGTCATCTGATCACCCCCCCCAGCAAAAAACTGGGATCAAGTTTACTGTCATGACTAACACCCTCTTAAAAGACTTTCATGAGGGAGATGTTACAGCCTTTTCCGAATCAGCTGGAGTTAATCCACACACCTGTCTGGATTAAAGTGATAATCTCAGCA